GATAAAGAAAAGCGTTCAAGTTGTCCGTGGATTTATCACCTCTCGCAATAACGTCTCCCCCTCCTACGTTTGTCCACGCTTTTCCAATTGTAATTTCGTTAAAATCGCGAAAGGAATGTAAATTTTAATATTCGATCCTTTCGTTGCTCTCTCAAAGTGGAAACAAAGTAACTGGAACGATGATCAACGGTGATCAAAAAGTTTTCTCATAATTCTTATGCAGTTCCGTAAACGATATTTCCCGTGAAAAGAATGGATAACGTTGATCAGCTACGAGTTTCAATAATGCTCATTGTTGATGGAATAATCGAGAGGAGGAGAAATTATCCGTGATTGGTTGGGAGCTTTTTCGCGCAGATTTTCAATCGTATGGATTTTTTTATGTAGCTAGAAACGTGTTCAAAAGATATTACGTATGTATTCATTGAAACAACAGATCATTATTACATTCGTTCGAAAATTCGTGAAATTTTCGTTCAAATTTTCAAGTGTAAAAGTCGTGAAAAGAAACTGAAAATTGTCGTGAAAATCCATTCAAGAGATAGAGGAAGTCATCCCCTTAAAGCCACTTTTTGTTTTATTCCGATATCTCAACCGGTTGCCGAGATATAAGGATTCGAAGTTTTCATAATGCAAGAATTATAAATGGGTCCGCTTGGGCCTTATGATATCTACGCGATATCCAAGAGTCGCGTTTTTGTCATTTGTCTGGAATTTAAGATAGATCGTGAGATGAGTGCGAGTGAGAGATCCGATGAAAGTGACAAGGACGAGGATGGTAAACGATTAAAAATTACCCTTTTCTTTACACGATGATATCTCAAGAACCGGAAAACGTATCAAGATGAATGAAAAATAGTTTTAAAGAATAAAGTTCTGTGCTACTACGATCGCTCACTCGTTCAGCGGAAGTTATTAATTTTAAAGTTATAGCGATTCAAATTTTTCCTAATTTTAATAAGGAAAATTTCATTTAATCGATTTCAGATGAATTGAATTGCTAAAAATTATCCTTTTCTTTACACGGTGATATCTTGGCAACCGGAAGTCGTATTAAAATAAATTTGAAGATATTTTAAAGAGTAAAGTTTTGCGCTTCTAACGATCGTTCGCTTATTCACCGGAAGTTACTATTTTTGAAATTACAGCAGTTCAAATTTTTATCAATTTTAATAAATTATACGATATAATCGTTCGTGGATATTTTATGATTGAAGAAAAATGTGTCATTAAGAATCCGCATTTCAATTATGCAAATGACGTAAATCAAAAATGTAAAGGAATAATTTACCTTCCTAATAAACGATCCATACGATAATACATGTCGCGTTTAATAATTTTTATTCACTACGGATATTCTTGATTAATTTTAAATTCGATTAAAATCGATTATAATGTTCGAATGTATCATTATTTAACGAAAAACACGTATGTTTATATATACATAGAATAATTTATATCAATATCCAATGATCACACGCCAATCGAAATTGATACTGATGCCGGTATTAATTATTCCAAGACAAAAGGTACAAAACGAGAATTAATTATTCTCAATTTTCATAACGTGAAATAGATTCCAATAATAATTTAGCATTGTACCGCCGATATTAATAATTAAATATCCTATACTTTAATACCGATATACATTTTTTAACAATGCCATCAAACGTAATAATACCTTGGCAAATATTACTTTCGAAATGGATTATCGTGGCGCGTTAAAAGCCCGCATAAAATTATCATACGCAAGTTGTTGTGATTTTACACATTGACAGGCGCATTTCTAAAATCGTAAATTATCCTCAAACGGCTAAAGGGGCTAAAGGGGATCGTTTAATGTATTAATAATAGGAAAATAACGAATAACAAATTGTATCGCGTAATTTGCATTGTTTCAATGAATAAACGTCACTATTCCCGTTGAAATATTATCATTTTACAAACGAGAACAACGAGAATATACGATTATTCGAAAATGAAAAAAACTGTTTTTATCAATTCCACGTTTTTAATTGAATTCATCGATGTAATAATAATCGATGACCTCTCGATAAATTTTCAAAATTATCTTCAATTTTAATCCATTTTGCCTGTCAATTAACAAGTTTGTTTTCATATGATAAAATTAAAGAGAAAAATTTGAAAAAAAAAAAAAAAATACAAAAATTTAAAAAGATTTTAATTAGTCCCACCTAATAACGAAAATAATTAAAACAGACACGTTGATTGATTCGTAATAATCATAATGAATATTCTACAATGTACAGTGTACGTATTATTCATGAGCGGTCAATACTATGAAAACGCAAAAAAGCAAATTAATATATCTTCACGATATCTAGCATGCACGAAAACGTTAATTAAAACGTTGACGAGCCGTGTAACGAGATGAATATCGGCTAATTAATTTGAAATCGCTTTCACAGTTGCACCTGTCGTCAAAGCGCCTAATCAGCTTCTGGGCGCACCTTTGAGCACGGACGTGCAGCTAGAATGCTACGTCGAGGCATTCCCAAACACAATTAATTACTGGGTAAAGAACCGGCGGGGCTTAGAGGACGAGATGTTGCTCGAAGGGTAAGGCTATATCCGTTCTTTTCTAATCTTAAACCTCGATTCAGCATATACGTGGGAGCATTTCGATAAAATAGCTGGCAAAAAGAAAAAAAAAAGAACTTCATTGTTGAATTGCAGACTCAAGTACCGTGTGAGGGAAGAACGATCCGGATACAAAGTTCTGATGTGGTTGTTAATCAAAGGATTTACCGAGCAGGACGTAGGCAGTTACAAATGTGTGTCGACCAACAGTCTTGGCAAAGCCGACGGCACTTTAAGGTTATACGGTAAGGTTCTGTTACTTTTGTATAGATTTGAATAAATATATTTTCTTATTTTTTTGATTAGAATAAGTAAAATAAAATTTTCTGTTTATATATATATATATATATATTTTAAGAATTGTTTTACTATGAGTTAGAGTATTAATATATTAATAAGAAAAATAAAAATTTTATTATATATTTTTTTTTTGAATTAATATATATAAATATTAATATATTCGTTAATATATTCGTGGGATATTTTCAAAAGATTGATTTTAGAAGCTAAAACAAATATGAAAGTTAATAAAATGATCAATTATTATATAGACTATAAACAATTAAAATTTGCATTAGATAAACTATCTCATTCTGTTTTTATGATATTGCTTCATTTTATTTCTGTTTCATTTTATTTCTTTAAATATTTGTAAATAAATCTAACTTAACTTAAATTAATCAAACGATTTCAATTTTTGTATAACTTTTGTGTTTATTTTAAGCTAAAAATTTATCAAAAATATCCCACAAATATATTAATACTTTATAGATATAATTTAATATATTCTATT